AACCTGAGCGGGGCCAGGCAGGACTTCATCTGCATGCTGATTCTGGACCCCACCCACGAGGAGGTCTCAAATTCTTTAATCTTTTGTGGTTTTCAGTAAAGCCACATTTCATTTCAAAAGATTTCATTCAATAAGATTAACACAATGTCTGACAGAGCCCTTAGATAAGGAGAAGACATGACACTCAAATAACCCTGAATAGAAGTTGTTTTAATGTGAACAGTCATCCCAGCCCAACACTAAAGGAGCCAATTAACAGCTAAAATAAGGAAGTTAATGGCCGGTCATCTGTTAACTTCTAATCAATTAACAAGAAACTTTAAAACCTCTTGTGGGATAAACATTTACTGAAAACAATTTCAAAAGTTTTATCAGTAAAACTTTACTGATGTATTTCATTTTAATATTTTAAAATCTTGTGTTAATTGTGTGTGTCTGTTTGTGTAGGTGGCTCCTATGCTTATGAGTCTGTTCCCTGGCTGCAGGGTCTCTGATGTATTGTCCAGCCCAAAAGGACAAGCGATCAGAGCTCAGCTGATGGAAACCATGCAGGCCTGTAGCTCCTCCTCTGATCCACAAAGGTTAGAAACATGGAGGTTAATTTGAAGGCTGGATGATACCTGACATTGAGGTAGCTGACAAAGTCAGTCTTTCGTTGTCTTGTGTTGAATTTTGTTCTTAGACTGAGTGAGAAGCTCTGCAACATGACTCTGACTAATGAGAGCACAGCGAGCCAATCAAAAGAGCCAAGTAAAGAAGGCAAGGAGCTGGAGCTGTGTGTGAACAAAGAAGAGATGCAGATAACTGTGAGGAGCCTCCTGCAGGTACCGAGCAGGACTTCATTTATTTTAGAAGTTCAGTTCTTTAAAAATTCTACTCAGATAATTTAAGTAATTTTCAGCTACAAATCAGTTTTGATCTTTTTTGCAGTGACTTCACAGCTGTTCTGTGTTATTGTGCAGCAGGTCAGCCGTTCATTCCTGACACTGCATCGCTAAACCACACTGGGACGTGTCTAACTACACACCACCTACCATCCATCAGTGCGTCTGTAAACATGAGAGGATGCAGTGCTGCAGAGTTGGCCTGTTTGGGTTCCACATCTCAGAAATGACAGCAGGAATACAGAGAGTGGAACAACCATCATCAGCTGTAACTCTGTGTTTTCCTGTTATTTAGAATTACACAGGAGTTTGATGATCGAGAGAATCATTTTTAACAGTGCCCGATGAAAACGTGCTTCCAGATACATCGGCTGTAGATTAATATCAGAGTTTAAAATCCCAGTTTCACTGATAGCTAGTGCTTATTTTTGTATTTGTACTTTTTCTTTTAGTCGTTCCTTCTGCTTTATCAAAATCTATGAGACACAGCAAAGGTAAATGTCATGTCAGTCAACAAGGCTGATATCAAACAACGTATCAGTTCATCCCTGCACAAAATTGTGTATAACTGTGTTCCTTGTAATCAAGAAAAGTACAACGATTCATGTGCCTTAAGGAAAAAGTATTTCTGTTCATCTAGATGTAGCGTTTATTAGTAGGAGAAACATTTCATCACTCATTGAAATGACTTCTTTGGTCTCAGAGACGACATTCTTTTTGTTGGCCAGCAGGGGTCAGTGTTTATCTCACTGCAAATACTGCATTCAGATGAACAGGATCACTTTTCTAGGATTTTTGTTTTTACCTGGATACATCACAATAAACCCTTCATATGAAGATGCTGAATAAAAATTAGAAAACTGCAGTTTCATGTCTGTTGAGAAGAACATAAAGGATACTAGGCGTGTTTATTTTTTGTGAATAAAACCTTTACATGAACTTAAAGTTTAATACATATAGCTGCTGCTACAAATACAACTATGATTTCTAAATTATAGATGCTGTTTCTACACAAGTCTTCTATACAGTATTTACGGTTTGGAGATGGGCTCTAAAGATTAATGTTGCCCAGCTTAGTATCTGACCAGAAATGTAATGTGGTTTCCCCCTTTTAATTTTACATGATTGGTACTTAACATTGTTATACTCTAATTGTACACTCAATGTGGTTCATACAGCATTTTGTTGTATGCCTTTATGGAGTTTGTGTCTATCAAGCCCAGTTACACTCCCAGAGTGAGTGATTGGTCTGCTTATAGCTGAAAGTACAGCTGTCATATAGTCAGATATGGGTGTGCTGTTTAAACTTAGTCTGCCTACAGCTGTGCTGTTTCTCTCTTAATGAATGTCACTTTTGTTGTCACTGGTATGTGCTCTGTTCTGTGCTTAACTGGAGTGCATATGGGCAAAAATAAATTCTTACAGATAAAAAGGAGGACCTGACTGAAATGTGTATGTTTAGGTCAAAGTGGCCTCCGACATTAATTTTTGACTAGTAAAATCGAATCAGTTCATTCGTAAGTCCAGGAAGATTTTTGTGAGAAAGACAAGAAACTAGTTTAAAGCCCTTCTTCAATATTATGTTCACGAGACAGACAATGGAAAACATATTGCTAATGATTTATAGTCTTAAATTGCATCAGACAACAACAGTTACTTAAACTCTAAATCAAAGGTAACAACATGTATCTAGAGCACAGTGGTATTGTCCTTTAATGATCATGTACTGTAGCAGGTAGGTGCAATAGGTGGCAGCAGAGGCATAATATCCTAGTATGGCATTTTCACATGATGTTGGACTGGTAATATCTTCTTTTATATTTGGCATTACACAAAATTTAGGCTTCTGTTTCTCTAAATTCAGCAACAGTTCTGCATCTATAAATGTAATTTGTTTAAATAATTCAGGTGTGATTTACGATGATATTGGATGCCTGACATACAGTGTGATCGCTTAATGCGACAACAAACAGGTGCTTTGGTGAAAGGGTAGTGCTGGTGAGCGTCTCCTCGACTGATGAGTGAACCCACGCTGAACTGTGCCACTGTTCACAGTCAGGAGTGTAGTTCCACGTGTCACTGCCAAACCACAGATTTGCACAGAATCATGTGACTTAACATGAATAGTAAACTAGTTTCAGTTCCTCTTATTTCTCATTCTGATTGAGCATTAATAACTTGATTTATTGCCCATATACAGTAAAACCACCCGCTCTTTGAAGCCATGCTGTCTGAAACCTGATCCTTTCTAATCCAAAAACCAAACATGTGCCACAGCACATCTAATATGGTATTATTTCCTCACAAAAATCCCTTTGGGAGCCATATGTGTTGACTGACAGCTGTCTGAGGACATGGTCTGTGCTGGTTCAGAAAGCTATTCTAAAAAGCAGAACAATAATACTGATGTCTTAGATAATGGGGGTGACGTTGCTAATTTTTTGTCTTACATGACATGTGATTATGTACACGACTAGTTGTCGAGGCTGTCCAGTAATTTGAAAGTAGTTGTGGGAATTATGTACCTGCTGCTTTTCGTCACCTTTCTGCTTCCTTGGTGAAGGGAACCCCTTCTCAGGTGATAGAACATGTGGATGAGCTTTCATATCTTGAGTCTGAATGTGAGGGCACAAATCAAAATTTGCCTCCACAGCACACATATGCCTACCAGTTCTCTTTTCCTATACCTCTGGTGTACCTGAGGTCTCTTAGGTGGAACATCAGTGTCCATGTATTCAAGAAGCAACACTGTGGCATTCACTGGCTCTCACTTATATGTAATTAATTAATTAATTAGAAATTTATGAGAATGCATCAGTTTGTAAGAAGTCATAGTTACACACTAGTCAAATACTTTTTTTTTACAGTACTATTTGTTACATCTTGATGGTTAATTTTCCATTTAGCCTAACCACGCCATACTTCAACAGAAGGATTAAATCTGATTGTATCACAGGTGATCGGCATTGGAGATCTGTTGTGGCTGCAGCTCTGTTGTTGTCTCTACGAGGCAGCTGAGCTCGCGGCATTGACAGCAGCTGTGGCAACAGCTGACGCAGAGAAAGGACCTGTGGCACAAAGGCTGCTGTCTCACCACAGAAAGTACAGCATAGCTAAAATCACAAACATACCACACATACCAGAGTCTGTCACAGTCGCTTCACGCCGTCCACTCTGGTGTTTAATTGGATCTAATAAAAACTAATAATGTTTATTATTTTCGTCAGCATTTTTAATTCTGGGAAAAGTTGTGCTTTCTGGCCTAAAAGTGCTAATTTCCATTTGTCATTACATTTCAACTGACGTTAAAATTCCACTCTGCCGTGGAGTGTGGTCACGCTAATGTCAATCAAGTCTTACAGTGATGATTGTGATCATGATCGTGAGCTGGCGGACTGAGGTTCAGACGATGTGAGTGTGTATGATCCACATCACCCAAGAGTCTGTAAAAAGCTCAGATTTACTTGCATTCTGTAAATGTTAGGCCTTGTAAAGATTAAAATTCAGGTGGTAACTTAATGTATAAGGTTTGTTAGCTGGATCAGGGATTGTGAATAGTATAAAGCCTTCACAAGTGTAGTCATACAGTCTTGAATGTGTGTGGGCTTTCTGCAGAACAGTGTGGCACAGACAGTGGTTGTAAAGGAGCCGAGAAGTGCTTCACGCTTGTGCAATAAAAGGCTCAAGTTACTCTCCGCTCAGGGCCGGGACGTGCAGCCAGCCAGGAGGTGCCGGTGGCCCAGCCAGCCAGGTTTCTGAGTCCAGACAAAAACACCTTTCTCTGGGCACAGGAGCTGGCGGCTTGGCCCCAGCTCAAAACATTCCCTGGTGGAGGGGAGGTACATTCTCTGTTTTGTCTAAGATACGCTGAGCACGTTTGTAGTCTTTGGGTAGTATTTGGGGCAGGTGACGTGCTTGGACGCATGGCTCCTTGTACTCCTGAAGTGAAAGCAGAATGGGATATGTGGGATTGGAATTAGATTAGTGCTGCTAGACTGAAGAGATCCTTGAAGTATGTGCCATTCAGGGCTTTTGTCAATGATTTGCTTCTGTAAAGTACACATCACTGCATTATGAGAAAGAGACTTAAAGTTCCACCAGGTTCATAAAGACAAGTTACAGAGTCCTGACTTTTTATTTTCATTTAGAAACATTATAAAACAAAAACACTTCAGACAAAGTATTGAACCTTTCATATTATAATAAATAACAGTATATTACACATGTTCAAATATAGTCAAAGCTGTCCAGTCAGAGTCCATCTGCCCCTCCAGAAACACATTGCACTTCAGACTGATGTCTGGGCCTCTGCTTTGCGTCACTGATGCTCCACATGACATATTTGGCACCTCAAAGATGCATAAAATGCTAAAAGGTGCTTTACAATCTTATAATTCTCACAGGCCACGTGGTTCCTTTCCTTGAGAGAAACTGGAAAGAGAAAAGAGGAGGGGAACAGGGCAGACAGAGGCGAGCAGACGAAGGGTCTCCCCTGAGAAACATTTCTAAAGACAATTTATATATTTTGGAGAGATAAACCATCTGCCTGTTTGTTCTTCTCATAAATTTTCCAGTCAGTTTTACTGGCTTGTCTCAGCCACCGTCTCCCTGTTCGTGCTGCGTGTGTTCTTTAGTAGCGTGTTGCCTGTCCTCAGCTTCAGACAGCTGGGTTTTTTATCGGGTCTCTGAGGGCACCAGAGACCTAATTCTGTACTTTTTTTCCTTTATCTGCTGGTGGATTCCTAAAGTCGCTGCTGACCTTAAATAATCTACCAGCCAAAAATGATTTCTTGGAGTAGAAGGGAACATCCACATGATTGTTGGTTTCCTGCTGAAGTAGATTAACTTACCAGCCATATACGAGTCTATCAGCATTCTGTCAGTTATTTGGTGATTTTCCAGTTGACCTTTATCCACGCCTGATCTTCTGCATGAAATTACGCACACTGACATGTAGGTATGTTTTTGGGTTCACTTCCAGCCGTTCATCTCTTTGAGCTTGCTGATACTGGTCCCTTTGACAGGTGTGGATGGAGGGGGGTTATAAAGAGGCAGGGTGGGGGTGCTACAGCCTCGTGCCCACGGCTTTTCTGTGGGGACCGTCCACACAGTCCGAGATGACTTCTTTTTCGGTTTGTCTTTCTTGTCTTTCTTCTCTTTAGAAGAACCGGGGGACATGGTCTGCAGTAAGAATAATAAGGTAACAGGATTAGAGCAAAATTAAGGACATGAGCTTAAAAAAGCTGAAATGATCACCTCCAAGGCTTTCAAACACATACAGCTTTCTTGCTGGTGTTCAATAAAGGCCTTTGCGGGTGGCATTTATTTCGAAGGTAGTGGCACATCGGTCCCCTTGTCAAAAAACAATAACACATACTCTGATACACTTGTCTGTGTACATTCTCATTCATTGAGGTCGTTTTGAGAGCCTTAAAATAAAAGGCAAATTGACTTCTGTAGGTGTTTGAAGAAGTTGCAAAGCAAAGGAAGTCCAGTTTCCCTCTTTTTTCATACTCTCATGACTATAGGCTTTTGGAATATCCCAGAAAATAAGCTCATTGGAAAAAAAGTATGTGCTTACAGGTTTTGCTCGTCAGTATATTCTCCCCATTCTGTCACTACTTTCTAATACATGATTTTTTGAAGCGTAAAAACCGTCCCAAGAGGTAAATGCTAATCACGGGTGATAAACGGCCTGCATTTAGCTGCTCAGCAAACACCTTCTTGGGGACATATAAAAGCAGTGGCGTATTTATGGCCGTATTTCTATTTTGTACAACAACATAGAATAAAAATGTCGTGTTAACCACAGACCTTATTTACGGGAATGAACATAAAGTCATTGAAAGAATCAGCCTACTCTCGTAAGCTGCTCGCTTACACTGAAGTTGTATTTTGGCATCTGTGGCCTGGTGCTCTGTTTATAGCATTATTCAGACAGGTCTGTCAAAGTCAACCAGAAACCTAAAAACCCGTCAGTGGCACCACCGCCAAAATAAATGGTAAATGGACTGTTCTTATATAGCTTTCTGCTCTGCTTGAGCACTCAAAGAGCGTTATACTACAAGACTCCTTCAAACAGGCAATCATAAGAAGCACTTTTTCTAAGTGTAGGAGCTTTCTGTCATACACATTCACACTCCAGTGAACATATTAGGAGCAACTTGAGGTTCAGTGTTTTGCACAAAGATACTGTGGCATGCAGACAGGAGCATCCAGGAATCAAACCACCAACCATCCGATTGCTGGATGACCTGCTGTACCTCCTGAGCCACACCCACCTTCTCTACCATTGTAGAGAAACACATCTCATAAAACTTCTTTGTATTGCACCCCAGTATAAGATAGACTGGAACAAGCTCATTTTACTTTAAGATGAAATAACTGAAAGTCTCATTACTACAGGATTTCTATAGTGTATATAAATGGAACGTACACAGCAGCAGAGAGTGAAGCAGCTGAGCTTAGCAGCGTTCTCTCCCGTCCCTGCATAGCGGTTCTTCTTTGGCAGCAGCAGCACGAAGGAAACAGCCAGAGACAGATGGTAGAAGCTGTGGACATAGGCGTAGTCCCACTCCTGTGGAGTGAAAACATCACACTCTTTCAGTATGTAACCGGATATCGATGAACAACACAAAATGTTGTGACAGAAGATAAAACCTCAGACTCTTTAAGTAGATGTTCTAGTATTCTGTATGTTTTTATTAAATATCTGTTTGTGATTTGGCGGCAGTCACCTCAAAGTAGAAGCGCAGCATTAGAGCGAGAGCACCGAAGCAGCAGCCTGGACCGACCTGCTGCGTGTACACTGTCTTCTCCGGATAAACCGCCCTCAGCTGCTTCATCTTCTGCAGCTGCAACAGCAGGAGTTCATCACAATCATATTCACACATCAGACTTCACACAAAAGAAAAAAGAGAAAGTGCAAAAGACGAAGAAGTAAGGTGCAGGGGATAGCAAAGAAAGGAAAGAGTACAAGGAATGGATGGATTAGTCGAAAAGAAGAAGAAATACACAAGAGCACATTAGATAACAGCAAGGGTGAAGTTATTCAAGGTGGAGATCATGAATAAAGAGGGAGAGGAGGAGATAGAGTAGAAGAAACACTGAAAAATATTTGAAATACACGTTGCCATTTTTTTTGCCACTGACCCATTTGACAGTAATGATGAAGACAGCTGATCCGATTGGCCCGGAGTAGATCCCGTAGCCCCAGCGGTCCTGGTAGATCCTCACAGCGATGGTTAACACTCCAAACATAGTCATAGTGGAGCGCTGGGGTTCATCAAAGTCACCCAGAGCTGAGACAAGCAGATGAAGGATTTCAAACTCTTTCCCTCATGGATAAAATCATTACACTGCAGAGGTGCTGCACTGTTTGCCAAGTAGGGATTACAGATGAAGTTTATTCTCTTGTTGGGCTAAATTTGATCAATTCAGGACCAAAATTTCACTAATACAAAGATAGGAACTGCAAAATTTCATAAAACCACTGATGTGAGGTGTGAACAATATGTTCAGATTGAAGTGTATAAGGAAAGAAGATTAAAAAGGCTGAACTGAACATTTCCTGCAATGTTTTTACCACCAACTGTCTACAGAGTTTGGTTTACGAAGTCCTGTTGTGAAGCATGCTACATTTTATCATACTTTTTTACTCTGATAGAGACTGCAAATTACAAATTCTTTCTTAAAATTAGCTATAAGGTCCATAAACTCTTCAGGAACATTGTAAAGACTTTGTTTGAATTTAACAACAGACCTGATTTTCTTAAACTAAGAAAAAAAGGTTTTAAGAATTCTGAAATTAGTAGAAGAAATCATCAGCAAATGCAGTTAAGTACACAATTTTAAAATAACTAAGGAAAGCTACAGCACAGTTTGTCGGCACTATTAAACATTAAAGGTTTTATATAAATAATTTCAAGATTGAAAACAGTCTGAATGCGTCCTATCATGGTTCAAGACCATCTTGCAAAAGAAGTTCTAATTTTAAGAATTTCCCTTCCTGATTAAATGAAGGTGACAAAATGAAAATGGATCAATATTTTACTGGCAGCCTTCCCACAGACACAGGAGGACCCCATCAGTTAAATCAGCTGTCAGGGCATTTGGCTCTTAGCAGCATTTGATTTAAAGCCCTTGTTGCAAAACCTCTGGGGGATCAGGTGGGAGTTAGAAGCAAATGTATTTATGTCTGTGTGTGCAAGTCTTCATGAGCACTTGTGTGCAAAGCCTGAACATGTGTTATCACCAACTGCTGCAAACCGAGCTTGTTTTTCATCGCTTGCTTGTGTCCTTTAAATATCTGGTACCGAAATAGACTGTAGTGAAAAAGATCAATCCAAAAAAACATATTTGCTGTATAGAGATACATCTAGAAATGTTGAATACTGCTATTAACTAGTCAAGCCAGAACACTTTCTGTGTAGCAGGACTCACCTATAAGTGTGACCCACATTGAGAGTGCAGTGCCGTAAACGCTGAAGTACTCCAGGATGTCGTATCTCATGAAACACAAGATGGAGAGACCTGGCCCATCACATGCATGGTAGATCTGCAGGAATACAGCATTCAGGAGGTCTATTAACCACTCTCACATCATCCCATTCACAGTTCAACACAGCTAACTGCTTGTCAGGTCATTGAGATTAAAGAACAGCAACAGTTTCTCACCGCAGTGAAGAACATGGTGAAAAAGTAGACCATGGCCTCCATGTGGAAGCCCCTCTTGGCGGCCACGCTGGCTGTAGGCAGGAACACCAGGCTGCTGACTGTAGGGAGCAGCATCTTGGCAATAAATGCACCCATGGCTCCTGAAGGGATGGTCGACTCAAAGCTTGTAGATGACAGTTTATCCTTTAAGCCTCAAAGGTTCTTGAGTCTTTGGCAGGTAAAATTAAAGTTATCCAAAGTTCAATAAAGTGTGAGATCAGATGGTACAGTCCTTGAGTGTCTTATGTCTTTCGGTGTGTGAGTGAATGAGGATGCTTATACAGCACACACTCCCACGCAGCATGAACACACCCAGCTGTCCACTTTGGCCCTTTAAAGTTTAAATGTCCGCGTGGATGGCAGGTCCACTGAGACCTGTATGTGCAGTGTCATCGCTGGTCAGCTGTTTGCATACCAGTGCAACATGGGAGGGGCTGTGGGCAGGGTGAGAGCCATCATAACATAATGTAGCATATCTATGGACTATTTGAAACCAGGACTGGACACTAAGTGGTTGTGAGTCAACTTGAAGTTTGGGCTGGAATGAGCAGACGTCCAGCTGAGAGACCAATCCCAAAATCTTTATTGTGGTTAACTTGTTCCAAAGATCTGAGTCGAATCCACATTTGTGCAACTTTATCTAATGATATCATCCCAACACAACTCTCGCACAATGTGACCACCTCCCCTCACAAGGCCTTCACATAACTATTGGTGGAAAGAATGGCATCTAAACCCCCTTGGATTTAAAAAAAAAAAATCCATGTAAACATCTTCTTTTGCTAACTGCAGATCATTTTTGATTAAATATGATGCAAGTTTTAGAAATCTGACTCATCTCGTGCTACCCTCCATCACCACCTTCTTAACTTTGCAAATTTAACTTAGTGTCTATTCCTTATTTTGCTGTTTTTATTTTATGTGAGGAACCCTGTGATTTTATTTTGAAAGGCTCTATATAAAGAAACGTACTTATGTCACACCGTTTTAAAAAGCCTTGGAAACAATCTTGCTAAATGCATTATTCAGGACTGCATCTATCTTTATGTGATGTCATTCAAAGACCAGATAAGATCATTTTGTTTTTTTCTCTGATATTTGATCCAGTGAGGTTGGCTGGTATCAGAACAGGTATTGAATCAACGTATGACTATGTCTCTCCTCTGAACCTTCATTGTTGGACGGAGTCCAAGTTAGGCACAAAAGCATTTTTGCTAGGGTCTTTTCTTTTCTTTTTTTAATAAAGCTTTATTAATAAAATACTACATAAATAAGTTTTTGTGCAGTTAACAGCATCCCGAGTGAAGTATGTTTTCCATTTGCTTTAATCTCATACATCTTTGCAGTTTTTTAGTTGGAATTCATTAAATATAACTCCAAAATTGCTATCTTGCAAAGGGAAGATGGCAATCAGCTCTAGTAATGCATCCATACACAACTGTACCACAGAGGACACGTGGGAAGGAGACTTTCTTACCAGAACGGATTAACTTCCATCTCCAATCTAGCTTTGCTTTCAAAAACCACTTTCTCAGAAGTGCTTTGAGGTCAGTCTGGTACTTTCTATCAGCTGGGATGATTGGAAAATATGTACATTTGGTGAGTCCAGGTCTGTTCAAACAGCATGTTTGCAGACAGTTTGTATTTTTTTTCTTGTCCCTTACTGTGAGGGAGCAGACTTCATAGTCAGCTCTTCTCTGCGGTTGCTTTCCTAGTGAATTAGTCTCTTTAGATGGCCATATTTCTCCAGTGAAATATTGCATCCGATAGCAATAGTTGGCAGTTAACCTCACTAACATATTAAAAACTACAAAGAATATGTTGCTCAGTGAGGTTTAAACAAACCAACCATTTTTTTCTGAATTAGATTTTAACCAAGTCTGGAGTCTCACTCTAAACCAACACATGAGATCTGTTGAGAAACAGCTGTCATATGTTTCAGCGTGTTGCGGCTGTGCGATGTGGCATTGAGCCGACCCTGCTGAGGTCCTCCCATTAAAGTAAAGACATTCACCCGGCTCTGGGTATGGTGGTAAATACTTCTGCTGCTCTGGAGAATCGTCTGCTTTTCTGGAGAATTGTCATTATCTCAACATGACTCAAATACCAAAACATAAAACTCACTTTTAGTTTTTCTCTCAACTGACTGTGCTGCTGCTCTCCTGCCAGCCGATCTTTTTTTTTTGTCTGACCTAATAAAATGATATAAAATGTATTCATTCGTAATATAAAACAGGTAGTTCTAGCTCAAAATCTCTCTCTTCATTCAAATATTTCACAACTTGCAATAGCAGTAAACTCAGCAGGGGTAGTCTGCATCGTTAGGAAGCCAAGCATATACAAAAAAACATCAGCTCTTTTTCTAGCCATACATTTTCTTCATCGCTCGCCCAGTTAAAGGTCACCGGGGGTTGAGCTGGATAGATTACTGGGTTAGAGGGAGGATACACTCTGGACAGTTCACCTCAGGATTAACACAGAGGGCTAGACAACAATCACATTCTCACTCAACATTTAGTCAATTTAGGATCCCTGACTAACCTAAAAGGCATGTCTGTAGACTGTGAGAGTCATATGCGACTAAGAAACCTACTGGAATCAGACCGCAGACTGTGCATACTTTAAGGACTGTAAAGTCATTACCAGGAGTGTGAAAACAAGTTTTTAAGCCCTTTTTAGAACAAAAATCTGAAACATTTTTAAGCATTTTCCTTTTTTTCCATTCATCAGTCACTCTATGCATGCATAGTAACAAGGAGAAAATAAACATCTTCTACTTCCGCTGAAATACAGTTAATTTTGATCATAACTAAAGTAACAGCCCGAGAAACTACCTGGAGATCTTAAAGATGGCATTTGAGTGTCGAGCTCTGCTTGTTGACAGACTTTGGCTTGATGGTTGGGTGTAATGCTTTCCAAAATAACCCATTACTGTAATCACATTACATTTTTCTTTAATACAGTAATGTAATATTTTATTGTACTAAATTCAGTAATCACATTACATTACGATGGTTTTTCAGCTATCTGTTTGCCTGGCAGACAAAAACATCCTTCAGACTTGTGCTGCTCTTGTTTTTGTGCAGCGAGCAGGACAACAGCAGAGAACTCAACCAGTTTTTATTATATGAAAGAACAAGAGCACAATGGTAAAGTGCAAACTACGTCCAGGACAGAAACAACTGCATCATACACAACACTGCGTCTTTGCATGTCAACAAAAAGCCAGCAAAGAGCTCAGAGGGATATTCAGAATCAGGATCAGAAATACTTTATTAATCCCGAAGGAAATTATAGGTTACAGCAGAGTGCATGCTCATCTCAGCCTATCAGGCTGATCTTCAACAGGTAACAAAGCCAGCGATGAGCCGGCTTGCGCCACTGTAGCCACCTTCTGCCTATAAATGCTTCTTAAGTAGAATCACTGTGGCGATCGCTTTGAAGTGACTTTGGCTGGTTTTCTGTTGCTTTGTGTTGTTGTCTTTGTGTTCATACAAAACACTAAAAGAAAGATCACATGTGCCAGGATAGGGATTTGTGTCAGTGTGGGAGTGATTATGCATTCCAGGTCATGTAATGGAGTAATCCAAAAGTAATGTAACAAGTACTGCTTTCTGTGAGTAATTCAGTAACATAAGACGTAATGTGTAATACAAGTAACAATGAAAACAATGAAAACAATGAAACCAAAGAAAAGCTTTCATGGTTTTTAAAAGAAGACTTGAAATGCACAGTAGAAAACATGCCTGACAGCTCATCTTCCCAAATATATAAAAAATAAAAGACATTTCTTTTGAAATTGAGCTGAAGAGACTGCAATCTGACCTGGGAACAATTAGATCCCCAGAACGATTGCAGTAATCGATCACAGCCATGTCATTTTTACGGCACACGATCTAATCAGATTAATGAATGTTTCAGCCGAGTCAAAGCTCTGTGTAGAAACTTGAGCACCAAATAAGGCAGATTTCTGTTTGCCTCCTCAAAGCGAAGCCATATTTGACTTCTCTCGGCATTGTTGTTCCCAGAAAGAATTTCAGCCTGAACGTTTCCCCTTTAGCAGCAAGGCAGCAGCTGGTGCTCTCCTGTCAGCTGCTACACCTGCTGAACGGCACAAAGGGTGCAGTATTGCCGAGGGCTTTCACCACACGCCTCAGATTCTCGGAGTGCTTCAGTAACCCAAGTCGCCTCACCACGCCCTCTGCCGGGAACTGCACACTCTTTTCCAAACGTGTCTGCAATCTTTGTGGCCACTCTAACGTATGAGTGTTGAAGTAATGAGTACCTATTTAATTAGGTGCAAATTAAATGTGGGTCAGTCTTTGTAACCTTTGGCTTCCCACTGCAGGACCCAGCACAGCTTCATTTTCAGGGAGAACAATGTGTGTCTTCAACTCACTTTGTTGAAAAGTTGAAAACGCTGCACTGGATTAAACTGAGGCAGCAAAGCAAGTCTTCATCATGACCACTGCCAGTGGCAGAAAGAGTCAGATGGCCTTAGCTGACCCTGAACTGAGCCCTCTCTCACCCTCAAAACAGCGGTCAAAAGGTCAAAGAGGCCACTTCATATGAAGAGCTGACGGCCGAGAGCTGATCACTGCAGATATGTGAATGTGTCATTTAAATGATGCAATCATTTCTCCCACGAGGCAAAACTGTGCAGCACTTGAAAAGCACGAAATAGATCATCTTCATCATCAGCATGTATCAGCATTTCATGAACTCCCCTCTATAGCTTGCATCCCGATTTATTCATTAACCAGACTCACTCCCATCACAAACAGCTGATTAAATATCTAAGTCAGGAGAATGCCAAAAACAAATTGAAGTGGTTTAGTCGAATTTCTACTGAGTCAAATTTGCATTTATTTTAAATTTTGGCGGTTTCTGTCCTCCATGTAATGTCAATAGGAATTAGGAAGAGCTGAAAAAGCCCTTCTAATGCAGGTTTGAGACTTACATGCCCGTGAATGCACAGTTTTTGGCAGCACAGTGTGAGGACCATTAGTTCTTCTTGTTGAGGAGAGTTTGTGGCCTGTGGTGACTTTCACTTCAGCACCCCTCTGTCTAAACACGGCGGGTTAGTGTGGGAATGCAGGCCAGACTTCCTGAACGCATCTGAAAAAACAACAGGCTTCTTTTTGATTCAGTAAGGAATAGCTGCGACCTCTGACCCCTGGGCCTTCTTTTCCAAATAACTGGAGGTGCTTGAGTTTTAGTGAGCCCAGTCACCGAGGACAAATGGAAAGCAACTTCGAGAGATTTCTTCAACACGCTGCTCGTGTTGTTTTACCTTGAGAGCTAATGTTCACCCCAGACTAATGTATTTTGACTCTTACTTTTAGTTTTTCAGATATTTAG